CTGTCTTTTGGAATATTTCAGTTCTATAGTTGTTTCTTTGTTAGACCTGTAATAATTGTACGCTCTTAATGACAGTTATATTTTAAATGAATAGCCATTGACAAAAAAAAAAAATCAAACAAACAAACAAACAAAACATTCAGCAACTATCTGCATAGTTTCAAACGTCTATAGTATGCCTGTGATGACTTAAGTTTCAATTTATGTGAATAATTTTGATGTATAAATAGAAACACAATCGTTTTCCCTGAATTCAATAAGCTAGATAATTAAAAAAATGTTAAGTTTAAATACTATATAAAAATATTTCCACATAATATCGGTACTTTTTGCCTACTAAGTAATCTGTGAGGACACGGATTGTGTCAAACTCTGTCAACTAACAACACTATATATAATTTTAAATCGTATGTTTCATTCTTGAGAAAAAAGCAAATGCCTTGCCAATTTCATTTTGAAATTCGAACAAACCAAACAATAAATAGGGCCATAAAAATGTAATTAATTTAAGAACATTTGAAACAACAACCTTGTAGGCTGTGCACACGATATCCATCCCCCGATTTTAACATCAGTGAACATGTATAAAACAGATGAAAACTTACTCAATGACACGTTGTGAGCTGATGAATGCAGGCGGAACAGTGCTGATCTTTCTGTGGATGTTGTTTGCATGGTGTGCATTTAAAATATAACCTCCAATGCAGTGTATATTGTAAATTCTGAAGTTTACAAACTTTTATCGCCCACCGAAAAAGGCCGCCATCTTTTAAGCGGGTGGCGAGGCAATTCGTATCAATAATTTTTCACACCCTTTTTATTCAAAGATTTTTTTAAAGTTTGTAGAAACATTGGCATAATTATATTGAAAAAAGTAAAACTTTATTTAATAGTACCAGTCAACGATTAATTAGGCCTATTTATTCATCATTTTTTATCAAGGTACCCCAAACAAGTTGGCGGCCAATTAATATTACGGGTATGATTTGAATCGCAACATCAATCGTTTTTATAAAACGTCGTTTGATTGGACGCTTCTGGTAGCTGATTTATAACATCATTACTGATTAGTTAAGCAGTAACGCGAGCGGCAAATTTTCAATAGATTGAAAGGAACGAAGACGTGCTTTGCATTGTCAGAAGATTGCCGATAGATCTAGATTCTGTCAACGTCTTTTTAATGGAGTGTTAACTATTATATTCGTAGAAAGGAAGGACTGCAATACAGAAAGCATGTGGTAAGAACATAATTTTTAAATTATTTTGGTTCCAAATTTGTTGATTAGCACTTGTTGCATGCATGCCAAACAAACTTGATTTAAAAAAATATAACTCGGAGAGAAATATAATTTAAGTTATTGTTAAATGAAATGAATTTAATGAAATATATTTTAAAAATTTATATCAAAAAACTTGTGTGTGTTGGTCTCAGAATATTTTTTTTTTAAATTTTATAATAAAAATTGGAAGGGGGGGGGGCATACACACCCCCTTGTGCCCATGGTCTAGCTCAAATTGAAGAAAAAAAGGAAACTTGATTCTAAATTGAAACTAAAATCATTTAAAAATTTTCTTTACAAATTGACTTTGACTCCTCCCTGAGGATTCCTGACTCTTTAAAAATTAAAGACCAAGTGTTCTGTATAAAAGACAGGTAATTCCTATATTTTTTCTGGCCTCCACTTGCAGCATCACCACAATTCCCATATTATTTAAAAGTATCCTGTTCCCTGTAATATTTATTTCTATTTGGCATATCATTTATATACATGTATATGTATTTTCAGGGAGAGTGAAATGAAAAACAAGGCCTATTGTAAAAGAGCATTAGAAAAAAATTACCAGATCATGATTTAAAGGACAGATTTCAATTTTGGATGAATTAGTGAGTGATCCAGCAGACACCCATAGAGAAAAATTCATTTTTGGAATGTCAAGAAGCAAAGTTGACAGGGATAACAAATGCACCACAGGCATCTGACTTACTTGAACGTGCCAAAAGAAGAACACAAGCGTTGTTTAAGATTCTGAAACTGATCCAGGCTGTACATGTAATTGTTTAAGAGTGTGTTGGCTAAAAGCTGTATACATTTAAAAATTCAGTGAATTAATACATAGCATTTAGTTTAGAATATTGTAGTCATTATTTATATATTATCAAATTTTGAATAGAATATTTATGTACATGTATTTTGAGGATACTCACAGTAATTTGGCCTTCTGTCAAATTATGTAATTCAAGAATAATGTTCTTAAAAAGTTCCTGAAATGTTCATGAAAGATCATAAAATTGGACACTATGATTTCATGAATTCTTCAAGCAAGTTCATGAATTTTCAAGAGTAGTAAGTAGTTCATGAACCACCCACTATTCATGAATATTCTTTAACTTGGTTTTCATGAATAAAATTCATGAAATCATGAGTGTCCAATTTTAACTTCATAGGATCTTCATGAATATTTCATGAGCAGATTCAAGAATATAATTCATGAACTTTTCTTAAAAGTTCAAGAATTATTCTTGATATTCTCGCAGGGGTAGGATGCCTGAAATCCAGAGATATGGGGTTTTATCATAGTTTCTTGAATTGTGTTGGTTCTAGATTCCAATTATTCATTAAATGGTAAGTGAGGGTAAACTTAAATTTCTTAGGGGGATATTTTGTTCATATTTTTTTTGCACTGAATTTCAATATACATATATTCAGCTATTAAAAGTATAGATTTGGGGATAATGCAAAAAGAGAAAGGATGGATTGATAGGAAAACTTCATAATAAATATGTGTTTTAAACAAGTCTATACAAACTTTTCATAAATTTGTATATATATATATATATATATATATATATATATATATATATATATATATATATATATATATATATATATATATATATATATATATATATATATATATTTTAAGTATCCACATCCTACGTCCTTTAAATGTCCTATTTTACAAAATCAAATATAATATTGTATCTATTCCAATATATGCCTTCCGCAGATGAAAATTAAACAAAAATAAGTACAATTAATTAACATAGATCTACCTGCCTCTTTATAATCAAATATACATTGGAAAAGGGATATAAATGTACATTTAAAAAGGTTTAATAGAACTTGAAAATGATAAATTTGGTAATGATTTGGTGATAAAATTTTCTATATACACATAATTTAATTAGTTACAAGAGCTGGTCTAGGACTTAAACTCTTGATCAACAGTACACTGTACGCCTAAAGTAGATAGTTTCATCCACAAGATTTGAGCATAGATGCTTGATGGTAGTACTTATATATACAAATGTCATAGTTAGAAAATTCTAAATTGTCTAAGTGTACGTAACTCAACAACATATCAGTATCACCAAAAACATAATGAAAAATAAATAAAAAAAGAAATGAATTCTAAATCTATATGATTAATATATGTACAACAGAATGCATGCAGATAACATTTTCACATGTAACATGGCAGAAAGTCTTTTCAGAAATGAAATGTTAATAAAATTTAACAGTTTCACACGTAACACTGTAGATCATAAGTCTTTTCAGAAATGGAGTGTTGATTTAACAGTTTCACATATTCAATGGGAGCCAGTCTTTTCAGATTTGGAATTTTGATTTAACAGTTTCGCATGTAACATGGGAACCAGTCTTTTCCGGAATGGAATGTTGATTTAACAGTTTCACATGTAACACGGCCGGGAGAGAGTCTTTTCAGAAATAGAATTTTGATTCAACAGTTTCACATGTAACACGGGAGATAACTAGTCTTTTCAGAAATGGAATGTTGATTTGAAACAGTTTCACATGTAATACAGGAGCCAGTATTTTTTATAAACCAAATGTTGATAAAACAGTATCACATTAACACAGCTTGGAGTTAGTTTTTGACATAACAGGGATAACTGTTCTGTATACAATGTCTTGGCAGATCTGATACACCATTGTGACACTTGGTTGTATGATAACTACATTAATTATGTGTATATAATAAATTAACACAAAAATTCTTTCATTCTAATTCTTAAATTCAATATATATGTATCAGCATAAATTAATCTACTAAAGAAATCAATGTTAATTTAAATGCCCATGAGATGAAATATTAATTTTATAATTGTATAATACATGTACATGGATTACCAAAACAGATAGTACTTTACAAACACAAAAACATGAAATGGAAAAAAAAAAGTAAATTTAACTCATCATTGGAATAGAAGTATTAAAATGCTACTTGAGTGTATATTTCATCCACACTTAACAGATCAAGTCATGTAGGCACATCACAAAAAAAGTATGTTATAAAAAATATCTTTTAATATTTGATCCAATCAAATCTTGCAGATATACACCAGTACTTGATTCTTTTTAAATACTAACATAATATTCCAATTTTAAAAAAGAACATTATAACATTCCATTTATACATGGCTTAAATGTTTAATTCAATAATTACAAAAATTTGCAAAGAAATTTACATATTGTGTAATTACACAAAAATTTACATATTCTGTTATAAGAAAACAATGTTGTAATGGAGCTTGAATCGTGATTAAACAATATACTATATAAAAGACAGGCAGCACGTACGTTTTTTGCCGTTTGTTGAAAGGTTGCAAACTTAACATACATGAACTAAATAATTTCATCTCATGGGCATTATAATTTTAAAACACAATTTTGTCCCAATAACTTCCCAATGAGGAAATTTATGTGAATTTTAAAATCATATACATGTACATGTACTTAAACATACAGGGGAGTTATTGGGACAAATAAGGTAGATGATGAGTGGCAACCCTTGTTTTTGCCTAACCACTCTTGGCAGTTTGTAAATATTTAGCTTCCACTGGAAACTAAATATTTACATACTGCCTGTGTTGTGCTCTAGAGGGTTTTTATATAATACTGGACAAGACAATTATTATACACTTCTATCATTAGCTAGCTTAAGTAATATTTGCAGCACAATAAATTATATTATGGTCAGACCAATAAGCCTGGAGAACATCTGTTTGTATATCAGTAAAGTTGGTAAATATTAGGTCTAACCGTGTCTTGTTTTTTGTGGTTATCTTGTTTATAACTTGCTCACAACCAAAGTTTTCTCTCATAAAGTTTAGGAAATGCTGATACTGACCAGTATTCAAATCCAAATTACAATCTCCCATAATCACAATTTTTTTATCTTTGTCAACAAATGGAAGCAATCTGTTCTTCAACGTATCGTAAAAAAGTTGAAGAGTACAAGAAGGTTGCTTATATAAAACTACACACTGTATTGGAGTATTGGACGCCATAATGGAAATTATGGAAAATTCAACGGATTTGGTAGTAAAAGAGTTGTATGTCACACACTGTAATTGATTCCTCAGATATATGACAATGCCATGATGTGATCTGGTCTGGGAAGAATTTGCATCATTTCTGAACATTGTAAAACCCTCCAAAGTAAAGTATTCATCAGAATCTAATTCACAAAGCCAAGATTCAGCTATACCAATAACATCTGCAGCTAAAACACTTGGTTCTGATTTCATATCAAGGTAGTGTTTGTGTAGAGATCTTGCATTGTTGAACAAAAATTTAATATCTTTACATACAGAGTAAAGTGGTGTGTATGAGAGCTGCAATCTATTTTCTCTCAATCTTTCCATCTCTTTATCAACATTTTCATCTTTAGAAAGACTTTTTTCATTGAAATCCAGAATGAATAGTCCATCAAGTGACCTTACTCTAGAGAGTGCAACATAATGTATATGAGGAATTTTGCGCTGCTTTGTCTGTGCTAAGCTGATGACTGCACTTGAAAGAGTTGCTCCTTGTGCTTTATGGATTGTCTTTCCAGCAGCTGGTTGGAGTGGAAACTGAATTCTCTCATAGGTCTTCCTGTTATACACAAATGTTCTTTTTGCTTCAAATATGGGAGTCCATGTAGTATTAACATTTGTGCTAAACAAATGGCTGTATTGATGTCTTCTTGAAATACCAATGTTCGAGTCAGCAAACAGAACCCATACTATAGCTGGTCTTAATAGCGATTGTTGATATTCAATGTATTTCACAACACATGAAGCACCATTTGTCAATCCATCTGTAACATCAAGATTTACGGATATGTCATAGAGCATATCTTCAGCAATAACCAAGTTAGTTCTTAATTGTCCAGTAGATGCTGGGTTTTCAGGCAAGTTTTGAACTAGTTTTAATTTCACTAATGCAGAGAGTTTTGTCTGTGATAAAACGTCTGTGTCTGCTCTTACATTTACTTTATTTGTTGAAAGGTTTTCTATTAGATTGTTATTAAAACAATCAACAAACTTGTTCTCAATAAACAGATGAGGTGCCTCCTTAGGATAGACTTGCATGTCTTGCCTGATGATGTGTTGATAAATGAGTTCTTTATCTTCATCTGTCATCTTGTTTTCACGGAGTCTATTCAACATTTCTGCAAATCTGAGGTCATCCTTTTGTCTCATAATTACAGTTAGTTCATGCATATGAAAATGTTCATGCCATAAATTTTTTGCTAAACTCTGACCAGGATTAGAAAGGTCTTTGAAAATCCATTTGTCTCCAACAGGTGGTAACTGATACAAATCACCAACAGCTATGATGCTAATACCACCAAAATCTTGTTTTCTACCAGTAAGTTGCTGAAGTCTGTCATTTATAAATGTCAGCATATTATTTCCTACCATTGAAATTTCATCAATTATCACAACTGACAAATTACGGTACTTTGTCCTAAATGAGTTCAATTCATCTGCACTCATGTGTTGCTGGGTTTGATACATTTTCCTGTGAAATGCTGATGCAATAGTAGTCCCTTTGATGTTATATGCAGCTTTTCCAGTGTGAGCACAAAGTAATATTCTGATATCATCTGGGTTTTCACCTTCTTTTGAGTACAGTATTCTGTGTAATGTTTGAAAAATTGCATCAATAACCACTGATTTTCCTGCACCTGCTCCACCAGTTAGAAAAGCATATAATGGTTCATCTCTGATTTGAATCCAGTTTGTTACATGATTGTAAAATTCTCTCTGCTTAGTATTCAGGGATTGCAAAAGTTTATAATACTGCTCATCAGGAATGCGGACAGCACTCATTTCTGTTTCAGATACTTTTGAAGACAAGCCAAGTTCTGGACAAATATCAAAATCTCTGTGTTGAACTGTATCAGGATCATAATGAACAAATTCCTCAGATGGTTCAGAACTTATCTCTGCATCCTCTGCCTCAGCATGTTCTGTATTTGGTGCTACTGTCTCCATATTATCAAGATCTTCTTCAGCTTGAAGTCGAGCTTGTTCTAATTCATCCACAAAATGCTCATACTGCTTTTGCTTAACTTGTATTATACATGCTTTTTGCTTGTAGTGCTGTTCATAAGTTTGATGACTACCAAGTAGGTCAGCATTCTCATTTCTCCAAGGCAGAAAGAGAAGAATTCTTTCTCTGTAATACTGTTCAGAATTTGTTTTTTGGCTGTACCCTACATATCTAATAACTCGTTTGTTTTTTCGTCTTCTGATCTTAATCCCATTTTTCAAATGAACTAAAACATCCTGATCAGTAAAAAAAGTTTCTTCAGAAATATCTTCTGGGTTATCATCATTCACTTCCTCTTGTAAATCTTTTCTGATTTCTTTGGGGAAAGTTACTTCCAAATTCAGCTAAACACCAATTTTCTAGCTGTTTTGGTCTTCTTGCATATCTTTGTATCATACTGTCTGCCTTAATATCAGTTGAATCCTTGGGTAACTCATTCAATTCATCTTGATGTTTGAGTAAGAAAACTCTGTCTTCAGGTGGTGAAGTATTTATAAAAACAACCTCTCTAGTAGCTTGTGTAAGTGGCATCTGAAGGATCAAGTAACTTGCCTCTTGTGCACTGACCTCAACAAAGTTTAAGAACTTGTTTCCAATATGTCGAACTTGACGCTTAAGATCCATATTTCCCTCTGCAGCTTCTTGAGATGCCTTATCAAGCATTGCACTGATTCCTCTCTGAGATTTGCTGATATAAGCAACAATGTATGTGGCACATGCATAAGGATCAAGTACAAACTGAATATCTAAGTTAGCATTCCAGGCCTTTAACACTGATGAATTATAGTAATTCACTCTCATCTCAGATGGACTTCTCTTCAGAAATATTTTGGGACCTTTCAAGGAAGCTCGAATACATTTTATATACTCATCCTCACACATTTCTACAATAGTCTCTAAGAAGGACTCATAGTCTAAACTGCAACCATCTTTGTAATCATTCATTTTCTTCTGAATATCAGAATATATCTTTCTATAATGCTCAACATCAACATCCAATGGTTCAAGAAGCATGGTTTTGGGCAAAGGTGGCAATGGAAATCCAAATCTGCATACAGATCTACCGCCTTTTTTGCAAGTCTTTGAGTGTTTATGTACTTGAAGCTCTACAAGCTGCTCCATTTGAGGATTATTTTCCTGCAAACTACATGTGACATACTTATCTACATAAGCTTCAATTTCCTCATTACTATTTTCTTTGTGCTTTGGAGCATCACTTGTCCATACCAGCATATGAATATGTGGTGAACCTCTGTTTTGGAATTCTACTCTTCGAAACACATCAGTGACAACACCTAAAGGATTGTGAGGACTTTTAAGAACAGTATTGATGAAGAGTTGAACTCTGTTGTCAAAGAATCTTGCACATGTTACTGGATCTTGTTTAACTAGTTTTGATTTTTCATTCCAATTCAAGGCCTCTAGTTCTTCTTGTGACGGGGTTTTTCCATCTAGTGTTGCCAATGTTTTAAGCAGATCTTGCCATCTGGTATCGGCTGATGACAGAGAAATAAACCAGGTTGGGAGACCTAACTGTCTTATCATGGCAAATACATCCTTCTTTTTAGATGAAAGATATGCAGGAGAATTTCGAAGTGTTCTGAATATATAATACCCTTCATTTAATCTTACAATTTTTTCTGCATTTGCTGGATTTAAAACTTGTTCTGCAGTGATTTTCTTGCCCTTTGATTTACATCTTCTAAGTGCCAAGTTAACTTTATCACTATCTGTTTAATTTGAATTTTCTTCAATTTAAAAAAGATGTTAGGTACAGATTGTGCTGCTCGTCTATCAACACTGCGCAACTCTCATTTTGCGATATCACTGTAGTGTACTGGAACTTCTCTTTCCTCACTTTCAATTCTGCGGTGACCACAAAATATTGTTGGAAAACAGAGATATTCTGCATCTTTATCTGTAAATAAACTTATTGGTTTTTGGTTTTCTCCTGGGGCAAACACATAGAGTTTATTTGTATCAATATCTGCTTCATCAACAAGTGTATCAGAATTGCCTTGAATACAATCATTTGAAGAAACTTCACAAAAATCATCATCATTTCCTTCAGATTCACGATCATCGCTTTCATTTGAACTACCTATCAGTTCTTGTACTGTTTCTTCTTTACTTTTTTCAATTTCATCTCTCCAAGAATGGTCTATCACTAAACCAGAATCTTTATACAACTCACTATTTTTCATAAGCCACTGTAAAGCACTCATCACCATATTTGGACGAACATTTTCTGTGAAGCATGCCGATTTGTGAGATAATCTTTTCTTTAATTTTACAGCTATAGTCACATGCTCATCTATTTGTCGTGGAAGGGCATTTACAGTTGGCTGAATATCAACTGGGACATTTACAACATTTCCTTTGACAGACATTTGACCTCCTCTAGGTAATTCTCTTATTTGCATGAATGGTATGCGTTGAGATATCAACCTCTCTTCCAGTGGGTGTAATTTCAAAGCATCTGGTTGGTCAGGCCATTTCATTCCATTTCTAACAGAAAGTTTTGGAATTTTCTCATCCTTCAGAGCTGAACAGCGGGTTATACATAACCATTCTATACCATCCACAGATCTTAATCCAGTACAAATACTTTTACTACTAGCACTAAGATTAGTTGTATGTAGCTTCACAACACTTTTCCAAAACCAAGTTTGATGACAACATGTACACACATAAATTGGACCAATTTTCACTTCTTCATGAAATTTCTCTATACAATCTTCCAACGAATTACCATGACACCTTTTCTTTAATAATTTGTTTTCATGGTCTGTAAATTCTGCATCAAGCCTCCTTTTAGCTTTAGAAACTCTTTCACTCTCTCTTTCTTTTTCTCTATAATTTCTTCTACTTTGTTGTTTACAAAGCCGTTCTTTCTCCAGCTGCTGTACATTGTCTCTTTTCTTTTTCTTTGCTTCTCTTTCTTTTAAACAAAATCCTGTATTTAGCCTTGCCTTGTTCATACTTTTTAATGTACGTTCTCTTTCCTTGAGCTTTGTTTCAGGATTTTCTCTGACACTTTTTTTGGAAGTAAGTTCTTTCTCTTTAAATTCTTTACTTTGTCTTGCCTTGTTCATACTTTTTAATGTACGTTCTCTTTCCTTGAGCTTTGTTTCAGGATTTTCTCTGACACTTTTTTTGGAAGTAAGTTCTTTCTCTTTAAATTCTTTACTTTGTCTTGCCTTGTTCATACTTTTTAATGTACGTTCTCTTTCTTTGAGCTTTGTTTCAGGATTTTCTCTGACACTTTTTTTGGAAGCAAGTTCTTTCTCTTTAAACTCTTTATTTTTTCTTGCCTTGTTCATGCTTTTTAATGTACGTTCTCTTTCCTTGAGCTTTGTTTCAGGATTTTCTCTGACACTTTTTCTGGAAGTGAGTTCTTTCCCTTTAAATTCTTTACTTTTTCTTGCTTTGGTCATACTTCTTAAGGTACTTTCTTTGTCTTTCTGTTTTATCTGTGAGTTTTCCCTCCTTTTTTGCATGTAGTTTCTCATATATTCATTTCGATTTCCTTGTGATGATTCAAAAATAGTACATAATCTAGACATGTTCTTTTGGAACTCAAAGTACTTGTCAATTAAGGAAAGTCTCTCACAAATGGACACATTTGTTTTTCGTTTTACAGACACTGGTTGAATCTCAAACTGGCTTATCATTGATATATTACAACCTTGATAAAATGCAAACATGTAGTCCACAAGTTGATCAATATCCCCAAAAGTGATTTTTACAGCCTTGCCATCTGCACATGAAAGACCATCTTTTCCATGGGAATGTGAATCAAAAAATACAGGACACCTCTTGTCATCCACATATATTCCAGAACAAATTCCTCCAACTATAATTAATCCTTGATTGTATCTTGTAAAGAGCAGCTCAATACCTTCCTTCAAATTATTATTTTGACATGACTGATCCCAATCTATATGAGTCACTGTTCCATAGATCTGTTCAAAATAGCTTATTTCATACTGGTTGTCATGCACATAAACAGACTTGGGAAGTTCTTGGAATTGTAGCATTTTTGAAACAAATTGAACACTTGATTGTAATTCTGCAATTCTGAGTCTAAATAAATCATCCCCAGCAAAGAGCACCTCATCAAGTTCTGATGTAGTGGATGCATTTTGCAAAATGATAGACATCAAAGCATTACATGTGCACTGAACTCCTCGAGAAAAAGTTGGAAATAAATTATTTGCTTGATTAATTGTTCCAAATAATCTAGTGCCCGAAGGCAAACTGGCAATGTTACTGGCGCCCGAAGGCAAATTTGTAATGTTTCTGGTGCCCGAAGGCAAATTTGCAATGTTACTGGCGCCCGAAGGCAAATCTAGTACTCTTTTTAAGGAGGCAGTATCCCCCCGGTCGTTAGTACTATTTTTTACGTGGCTAGTATCCACGAGTCTCAAAGGTCTGTCAAATGTTTCGTCAATCGTTGGGTCCTTTGTACTATTTTTTACGTGGCTAGTATCCACGAGTCTATTGTCACTGCTGGCACGACTCCGGTTCCCCTTCTTGGCCAATCCAACCCGCCAGTTCTTCTTGCGTGGCATCACCAGGTTTCTGCAAAACACATACAACTACTAGTACATGTAATTCAATCAGTATTCTTTAAGTAATATTTAGTACTTACTTCTTTCAATAATACCTTTCCCTAAAATAACAGAAGAACCCTCTCTAAACTGCACACTAAAGAGTTCAGATTCTGTGGTGTTTTTCTCAAGTTAGAGTGATCTGCCATTTGATATAAATTCAAATAAATTGAAATCTACAGTGTATTACTCAATTTGTAATTAATGCAAGCATTCAAAACATTTTATAATGCCAAGATAAATTAACTTAATATTTAATTTGCATATATTTTCTCCACTGGAGTAAAACAGTAGTGAATTCTGTTATTGTAAATTTCTTGTCTTTGAACATTTTTTTTCTGGGAGTAAATGCCACACACCATAATACTGAAAATTAAATAGATAAGCTTATTATTTACCCCTTTATACATTACAATTTTCTCAATGTCCCAAAAACATTTTGCACTCGGGTATAGAGAGTCCTTAATATAACCCTTGGCCTAGTGTGAGACATAAGTTTAGAGCTGAAGTTTTAATACGAAAAACTAGTTAATCTTTTCTCAAGAACAGTATGACCACTATTAATCAAACCAATATGAAGCCTTGTCCTTGTTTTTATATTCAAGTTTGTATAATCTCTAGTGATAGGGTGTCAAGTAGGGAATAAAAAGTTTTACACTGGAATACAGAGGAAAGAATCTATAAAATTCTTCTTTTTAAGAATGATTGGGTAATAAGTCAAAGTAATGGCACCTATTCTAATGTTGTTAATGATTTTCTTTTCCAAGTCAAAGTCCTTATTGCTATAGTGGTTCAACTTTCTTCATAGAAATACTGGTAACAAAAAATACTCGGAACAATCTCATAAAATACCCCCCCCCCCCTTCTGCATTTCTTTTAATGTGCCATTCAAATTTTGTAAATGTGACACTGAACTTGCCAAAAGACCTTGGTTAAATGACACATTCTCTGGTCATTAGTAATTTTTTAATGAAACATGGACATGCCATGTTTCTTCATTAGAAAATTATAGATTTACACTTTTAATACCAGTGTCCTTGAACTTGCTGCAATGACCTTGGATCAGGATCAAGACATACCCTCAGGTCATAAAGAATTTTGGTAGGAAGTATGAGCTTACACTGATACTCCATAACTAAGCTGTACCCTGGAAAAGAATTTTATACTTTTTCTGGCATTGACCTTGAACTTATCAGAATGACCTTAGATCAAAGTCAAGACACACCCTCTGTTCACAAACAATCTCTATACCAAGTATGAACTTCCAATGATTCTCCATTACAAAGTTATAGCCCAGACAATAATTAATTTTAATTTTTATCTACCTGACCTTGAACTTGCTAGAATGACCTTGGGTAAACTTCATGATATACCCTCATGTCATAAAGATTTTTTGTAGAAAGTATGAGCTTCCAATGATTGTCCCTTACAATGTTACAGACCACACAAGAATTTTATTTGTTTCTCTAGTGACCTCGAACTTACTGGAAAACACATAAGCTGTACTAAAGTTAACTGCACAAATATTTATTATCTATGAACAACTGCATTCATGTCTTTTGAACAAATGAAAAAACAACTTAAGCTAGCTGAGCTTTTGATATTCTTTATCAGTTCTTCCTACCCACTATTCAATTAAACTACAATGCTGCATGAAAATTCACAAAATTTTTAACACCAAAGAATGAAATATGTGGACATAACAAACAGTATTCGAGCGCAAATGTCCATTAAACATTACAAAATAGGAGCAGAGCAAACACGGACCTCTAAGACATCAGAGGTGGGATCAGGTGCCATGGAGGAGTGAGCTTCCCGTGCCGAACAGTCACACCCGCCGTGTGCTCCTCGTCATGATCAGGAAATAATGGAAAATCCGTCAACAATTCAGTGTGTAAATAATGGCCTAACAATTAGTATAATAAAGGTCAG